AAGCTGTAAAAGCCTCCATGATATTTCTTTTATAATTTTTGCTGTGGAATGCGAACTCAGACGAATGTAATCCAGCAGTGACAGGTACAAATTGATGACCTTCATACTGTCTTATGACCAGAAGTGGTGCATATCCGATTCCTCCCCACAATCCGAGCAGCATTATCCAGTTGTAATCACCACATTTGTAAAAGAATTCCCTTTGGATTTGCCATGGGGCTCGCCAAACAATGTCATTGCTTTACAGATTTCGAAAGGCATTAATCCACATATCTTTCTTAATTTCTTTCGGTCATTCTTGCTCCAGAAATTCTTTCAATGGTGAGTAGTCCATATTAAAGCGCCGGTATGAAACCTTTGTTGTCCTCTAGAAATGGCTACGGATCCAGACATATAACAATTGGGTACACCCTGAGAATCTTCCACCTCCTAGCTTTCTACAAGCGTTTAATGATCTGAAAGTCTCTGCTAGAATTGCAGATGCAGGATTAATCTTTTTTGGTAGCTGCTCAAACAAATATATTACTGCAGCTTCAATATATCCTAATACTTTTGGGAAAATGACCATACCATACATACCCAGAGCAAAGAGATCGAATCGTACTTTAGTGTCTGGATGACTCTGAATAAGTTCTTTAATGTTGGTCCAAGCAATGCCTTCGCTTTCACCCTTTTGTTTTGTACGGGATGCCACCCATTCTTCTCGTACTCCAGCAATCTTTGCTAATTTAACTCGAAAAGGTTGAGTTTTAATTGACTTTGAATAAATTCGATTCTCCAAAGCCCCTTCTATATGTAGCAAAGTTGTGTACTCTTCAATAGTAGGGACCAAGTCCTCTTTATTGAGAGTGAAGCAATTGTACCCTTGATTCCAGAATTGAATTAGGGCTCGAAGTAAGTCATCATCAACTTCGACATAGAGCAAATATGGGATGTCTCCGTAAGTCTGATAAAACTGCAACTTTTTGTTTGAGTCCCAACTTTCCCAAATGCTTCGCAAATCTTGCATATCATTTCTTTTTAGCGAAACTGGAGCATAACTGGCCAAGTCAGATACATAGTCATCTTGCAGACTGTCTCCTCCTTGTCTTTGTAAGTCCTCAGCCCATTGTCTTACTTCTGAGTTTAGAACTATTTGATTTGAACACTTTTTATCCATGGATGAAGGTTTTCCAATGAGACAATTAATACGAGGATCAATGCCTTTTATCCTGTATGATGCTCTGCAAACAGAAGAAATAAAGAACACACAAAAAGAAATGAATTAGTTTACATAAAAAAATAATTTAATAATAATGTCTACCTAAATATCTTTATTTAAACATACTTTCTTCATACTTTAAATAATTTAAATTCACATGCAATTTAATCAGTAAGAAAATAAATAAATAAATTAAAAGGAAAGTTAGAATTCATTTCTCCTGTGTGTACACCTATTTTGGACAAAATTTCGGCATGGCTTCAAATCGGAAGAGTTTCTAGGGTTTATTATATGCAGGGTTTCAGATCTAAGAATAAAGGTACCCGAATTGTCCTTGTTAGTGCCCCCTTGGGTTGCTAACCCTCAATCCTAGTCCGTCACAGACTAAAGTGGATCGAGTTTAATTTGAGGGGATACACTTCTCTATGCCTGACACGGAGAATAAATTCTCACGAAGACATAGAGCATATGAACCCCGAAAGTTACTTATTAGGTCTGACACGGAGAATAAATTCTCACGAAGACGTCGCTTTCACTCCCACTTAAAAGGAACAAACTCAATTATAGAGCTTTATGTTATGCAAAGCAAGTGTTGTGTGTGAGGAGAAATGTTCAAACCTCTGACAGAAAAATAAATAATGAAAATATTTGCAAATAAAATGAAATAATATATATAAATACTATAAAAATAATAAGTATGTAAAAATTTTGAAAAGAAAGAATTATAAATTAAATATACGAATTTTTAATTTATAATTAATAGAGACAATTTATAATTGTTTTTTTTTAAAAAGCCTGACTATTCCCCAGCAGAGTCGCCAAGCTGTCGTAACCGGTTTTTGTCTGGGCACGAATTTTTTACTTAGCGGGAAAAGTGATGTTAATAAATGGTTTTTTTAAAATAATTTGGGAGTCGCCATCGGCCTTTTGGGTTAGGTAGGTCGAATACCTAAAAATTATTTTTTAAAAGAGTTTTAAGAAAACATCAGTTAAAAGATGAACTGATCTGCGTTTATAACCAAAAATTCGTTCTTTTTAATAATAAAAAGGGATTCGTGGTCGGTTACGTTTAGGGAAGGATTAACACCCCTACAACGCCCAAAATTGGTACTTTTTAATTATAAATTGCCTCTAGAATTTAAGAATTCAAATATTTAATTTATAATTCTGTTATCTCAAATTTATTACTATAATTTTTAAGAAAATCTATTAATTTATATATATTTATAAATAAAATATTTATTTATTTAGAAATATCAGAAAAATACTTCTAGGTGCCTTAAGACAGTTCTTTTCTTCGATATTAAATATTAACAATATAATAATTTAAATAAAATTAAATTATAATTTTTTATAATATTTAATTTTAAAATACCAGAATAGGACATCCAGTTGTATTAAGACTGCCCTTTTCTTTGATATTGAAAAAATATATTAAAATATGATAAAAAAATAATTTATGTAAAATCAAATTAAGATTTAAAATAAATTATTATTTATTATATATATATATATTTATATGACTATATAATAATAATAAAAATAAAATTTAAATATATAAACAAGTAAAATTAAAACATAAATAAACAATAATAAAAATAAAATTAGAACTATATATTTAAAAGCAGTAAAACTTTATGATAAATGAAAATATTTAAAATTAGTGACTAAATTATAATCTAATAAAATTAAACCTAATTCGTGATTAATTATTTAAAATTATAGGGATTAAACATGATATTCTTCTTATTTATTAATTTGGTGACTAAAATAAAATTATATAAAATTCATATATCAAATTAAAATAAATTGAAATATGTTGTTCGGGGTTTAAAATATCAATTATTAAAATTAAAGGACTAAATATGTTATTTATCCTAAATATATTATTTTAATATAAAGGACTAAAATAAATAAAATTAAAATTAAAGAACCGAATTAAAATGATTATAAATTGATTTAGTGACTAAAATGTAAGGATTACAAATTAGGATGGTTGCGGAAAGGGTTTAACTTTTAGTTAATTATAGATAGACCCCTCCCCAAAACGGCGTCGTTTGGGGAGGGCTATTTAAGCCCCTAACCGGCTGGCCCGAAGGGCCAGCTCTCATTTCTCTCATTTTCTTCCTCTCTCTAAACTGAGAGAGTTTAAACTCTCTCTCACTTCTCTCTAGCTTCCCTCATCGGAGGGAAGCCGGTTACCGGGCGGCAGTCGTCTGCCGCCGTAATCCCCACCGTCGGCCACCGTTTCCGGTGGTCGAAAAACACCAAAATTTCCCAAAGCCTAAATCCAAGTACCCTAAACCCAATTTCACCCTTCTTTTATCCTAAAAAGTTATGGATTTTCCTTGATCTAAGGAAAATACCTTCGTTATTTTTGGTTCTTAGGCGCCGTTTGGGGTTCTCCGGTAAGGTAAACTCTTCCTTCTCTCTTCTCGGTTTGATTGCTGGTTGTTGTGAGTTGGTCTCTATTTTTTTGTATCTTTGCTATCTGTTTGGTTGCTCTGTGGCTGTTGGTTCTTTTCTTCGCAGGTTCGGTGGTGGCTTTATAGCCATCACCGGTGCTTGTCTCGGACCGGGTAAAAGAGTAGAGTTCGGTGAGTCACCGAACTTCCAGTGGTGACTCACCATTGAGGGCAACGTGTGCGGCTATGGCTTGGCCTTCTGGATCCTTCGGTTGGCGTCGTGGCAGCGTGATAGCAGAGGTTGGCGAACAGCGGTCGCGTGGTCCCTAGGGTATCATTACCCTAGGGTTTGTTCTGGATGAGTGTGGGCCGTTGGATCTTTCAGATCCAACGGCTGTGATGCTGAGGTGACTAGGGTTAGATGATACAAACCCTAAATTGGGTTTAGGGTTTCCTGATTGGTTTGGGCCAGTTGGGTCCTTTGTAACTGGGTCGGTCCAGTCTGATTTGGACCTGTAATAATATTTATTAATAATAAAATAATAATAATAATAATTATTATTATTATAATAATATAAATAATATTTAAATGAAAAAAAATGAGTATCTTCAGCATACATTTATTTTGGCAAACATAGTATTCCTTGAATATATAATACCAGGAATAAATGTGTAATAGGACGAACGCAGGCATATTAGTACCGCAATTAATACAGAAGTAGATGGTTTGCAGCCTAATTTTTCACTAACAAAAGAAAATTGTTGATAAAACGAAGAATATATAATAGGGATGAAATAACTGTATTGTAGCATTTGGAATAGCAAACCCCACCAAAGAATGCCAATTTAAAGGAAGAATATTCACAAGTGTTTTGAAATGATAACAAGTATGGTACTGTGATTTCTTACATTTATACCCATATAAAGTGTAGTCCTTTCTCCACTGTTTTGCACATTCACTATATATAATTTCAATATTCGATGTTGCATGTTATTTTTTATGATTTCGAAACAAGAAACAAGAAACAAGAATAATAATAATAATCAAATTTAAAATTTAAATTTAACTGAAAAATTAGATTTAACTCAATTTTATTAATCTCCCTATATATATATTCATGTATGTGTAAAGCTTGGTTATTGTGGTACGTAATGCATGATAATGTGGGGGTGCTTTGGCATTTTACGAATAAAGTAGTGCATGAAAATACCCAAAACTGAAAGCAAAAGAAACATGATAAAGCGAAGCTCTTGGAGAAAGTAACAGTGAATCACGTCAACTTCCCCTCTATAAAGAACACCCATCAAACCATAAGCCCTACCTTTCCTTTCCTTCTCTTATATATATATATATATCATATTCCAATCACCATCATCTTCATTTAACAATCTCCCTTTCCTTCTCTTCCTCTATGTCATAGATATAGGGCAATAACAGTCAATCATGGGCGCAGCTGGTAGTTCTTTGTTGTTTAGAACACTTGTAGTTTTGGGGTTTATGTTGGTTATATCAAATGGAATCCAGCAAAGACAAGATCACAAAACGAAGACGACGATAACAGGTGTTGACCATCGGTCTTGGACATCAACGACGGCGGCAAAACTGCAGCAGCGGGAAGAGCAAGTGAAGGTCTTAGGCAAAGGGAAGTCGAGTGTGGCGCATCCCAAGCAGGATCTCAACTACATGAGCAAAAGAAGAGTTCCTAATGGACCCGATCCTATTCATAACAGGTACAACTCTAATCATATTTGTACATATATATGAATAAGTGATAATTCGAGTTTAAATCATAGAGATCATTTGGTTAAAAGAGACAACTTCGAATTCCAAACATGAATAGTAAAACGAATATGAAAGAAAATATATACTTTACTGTTGCATTGAGTCTTGATGTACATGTGGTCCAGTATGTTTTAATCTCCAACATTCACTTTATTCAGTCTTTTAATCTTGCTTATCCACTGCTAATTACCATTAGCATAAAGCATTTACAAAGCCTTTAATTAACTATTTCATGTTGCCTTTCTTTTCTTTTCTAGAAATCTGCAATAATTAAGTGTGCTTCTACTTGTAGTATTACAAAGCAAACTAACTGATTACCAAATCAATGCAACTAAAAGCTGAACCAGCATATATAGATAATATACCATTTTATGTGTAAATAAGATCGAATGACTCGAACATAGAAATAAATGAATAGATCGTAATATTAAACATGTGTCTCATATTTTAAAAATGATTGTACGAATCAATTGTTTTTTCCTCGTATGATTTTATATCTCTTTATCTTTATTAGAGATCTTTTGCACTTTCCAACAGGCGAGCTGGCAACTCGGGACGACCGCCGGGACAAGCCTAGCCTCGGCATCGATGTACGTGATCGGGAAGCTTCAAATCAATCCGAAGTGCTAAAAGATCAACCATTAATAACCACAAAACCAGCATGTTGTCTGCCATATATCTTGTATGTATTTTTTTGTTGGAAGTAGGATTATAAAATCAATATTGAAATATCCAATATTAAAGCTTGCAATGCATGCTTGTGTAGTTCTTTTGCTGTGATAGAGGAGTAAACAAATGGAAGCTTGGCTCATACTATGAAAATATATTCCCATCATAACCATCTTGCAAATCCTTTTGTATCAACTTTTAAATATGCATGCATGAGAGGACATGTACCAGAAATTCATCGAGTGTTGAATTCTGATATTTGATATGTCAACAAAAAGTCTTAACCGTTTTTCGTTTACGTTATTAGCGGATTTGATTTATCGAGTGTATTTCAAGTTTATATTCTAGAAAAAGAAAAGGATGTACATGAGTTCCAAGACTAAAGTGAATCCACCATTAAAGGTGTTAAAGCTCTAAAAAGGAAAAGTTGTTTTACATACAACTTTGGGTGTTATTCTTTTTCTATTGATTCTTTTGGTGACTGTTTTGGTCTTTGGGTCCATTCAAACTTGCATGAACATGAGATTCTTACATCTCCTGCCAATCAAAGCAAAACAGAAAATAAAAATGAAACAATTATATTTATATATTTACATACAAAGACGGATGTACTAATTTATTTTAGGAGTGTGAATTAAAGAATTTATATTAAAAATGTAAAATATACGAAATTACAAAATTTTGAAAGGTTCAAAATTAGATTAAAATAAAAAATACAAAAAGAATAATTAAATTATACGAGAATTTAAAATTAAAAAAAATACGTTTACAACCCAACACTTCTCTCTATTCATCCTTCACCTTATATATATTCTCATCTAAACATTAGAAGGAAAAACAAATGAAAAGGGGTTGCTCCCTCCAAGCAAATTTAACCTTTTCTTTTATTTGAGAGACTTATCTTGCGTTTGAGAAGCAAAGCAAAAGTAGGGTAAGATTGAAATTGGGGCAATTACTGCTAAAGAGAAAAAGCAAAAGGAGGGAAATGCTTATGTATAAGCTTTTGCTGCATTTTGCATGTGAGATTGAGGAATGTTTATTCTATAAATAAAATTTAATATGTTTATATTAGGAGGAGAATGTGACAAGGATAAACAGTTCATTCTATTGTAACATGGGATAGAGAAATTTATTAAGTGAGATCCGTGATAAAAAAATTGTTTTTAAGAGAATCTAAGTTCAAACAACTACATCTATAAAATATATATACATTATCAACTGATAAAAATATTTCTAAATAAATATCACTTTGTATTCACTCAAAATTATTAAAAAAAAACTCCTATGAGACAGTAATTCTTATATCCACAAGTGTATTTTTTATATTAAAGCAACACATAACATTTTACCCACGACACCTCCCTTTTTCTCTAAGTTGCAGATTTAATATTCATGATAAGTTAAAATTTCTCTTCTCCTCCCTTTAGGTAAGGGTTGTTCAAAAAAATAAAAATGAAAATCGATTTCACAAGAATTATTGAGTGATCTCCGTGATCAAAGAGTGTTTTTTTTAAAGTTTAGAGGTATGCATTTGTTGAGTACACATGCATTATCAATAAAAACATATATAACTTTGTAATCATCCTAAACTCATGTATTTTTTGAATAGGTCTGACCCAATTTTGTCAAGGGATCCTACATTTAGAAACTCCTATGCCCAAAGATGGATAATAAGAAAAATCATACAAATCAAGTTAAATACTAAACTGAAAAAAGTGTAAAAGATGTAAATGCAAAATAATTTGAAATATATATAATTATTGTAAGCAATATACATTGTATATCTTTTCTATCATAAGAAAATCATCAAAAGGTAGATCATATAAAGACATGGAACATCCTCAATTACTCTTAAACATGAAGAGACTTGAACAATTAACCTAATTCGTTCGACAATGCTTCTACAGTCGGATCAAAAGTGTATATTGGTAGCACAAATAATGTTAAAACATTTATTTTTTTAGCATTAAACTGACGACAAAAAGAATTCATCTAAATGAAAAGGCCAGATTTTAATTTTTTTACAATGAGAATTTGAATCAAAAGTAAAATTACATTTCCGTCTTCTTTCCAATTTAAGAGTGTGATTTTAATGTAAGATGTCAATAAGTAGGTGAAAATATTTTAAATAAGGTTCGAATCGAATGAAAGAACATATATAAAATTTTATATTATGAGATGAATTTATAAATTTTTAAGAAAAAAATAAACCATACACTACTGTTATATGTCGCCTAACATCCATCCATGATGGAATGTATAGAATGTGAAAAGCTACTTCGCTGTTCGGTAGCGAGATCATGTCCGACACCATAATCAATTCGTAGCTGAAAATAAACTTACAGTCAGTATGCTCTGTTGTCATTTATTGCATCAGAGTACGCACCATGCCTATTGTTGGGCGTTTTACCCAAAAAGCATCCCAATATGTTAATTTTATGTCAGACATCGTTTGAGAAAATTTTATTGATCTAACACTTTTTTTTATAGAAAGACGCGAATCATCATCCATGTTTTATCTTGATGTGGCGTTGACTCGGATAAAACGCGAATGATGATATGCGTCTTTCTGAAATAGGTGTTTGTTGTGGAATTCGGGTTAATTTCCACCAATAATAAAAAATTTACCTTGAAAATTATTATCTAGGTGACTAGTGTGAAATGACTGTACTAAAAATCACCCCAAGGTAGATTCTCAGGAAAGAGTGGAGGGGTCACAATGGTCCTTCTTAAAACACACTCTACTTAGACAGAACTACCAAGACAAGTAATTTTAATAGGACAATAATTAACATCAATTATACCCGACAATAGCTATTAAATATACATAAAAGAGAACACCAAAATTTAACGAGGTTAGGCCAAAATTATGCCTACGTCCTTGAACACTACTAAAATAATATTTCACTAATAGAGGAAATATTACAAAGAGAGAGAAAGAGTACAAATAGTCTTTAATATAGAAGAACACTTATATTTGTGGAATACTAAACTAAGGAGGATGAGGGCTCTATTTATAACAAAAGAATTTCACCTCCTCCTTATACAAAACCAATGTGAGATTCAAAATTTGCCAAAAAACCAACAAATCTCCACCTTGGCAAATTCCACACACATCTCTCAAAAAATCCAATCTTCAGTAGTGTCTGCAAATTCATCTTTCAATTTGTAACAATATTGACCAAGTCTAAACAATGTTTAAACTTGATCGCAGTTATCACTTTTGTCAACATATCAACAGGATTCTCAGTGGTCCAAATCTTCTGGATTATGACTCCACCTTCTTCTAGAATCTCTCGTACAAAGTGATATCGAACATCGATGTGCTTCGTCCTTGCATGGTAAACATGGTTCTTTGCTAAATAAATAGCACTCTGACTGTCACAATGCACTTTGATGTGCTTCTGTTACATTCCCAATTCACCAAGCAACCCTGGAAGCTAAATTGCCTCTTTCACAGCCTCTGTAACTGCCATACACTCTGCCTCTGTAGTAGACAAAGCCATTGTTGACTGTAAGGTGGACTTCCAATTGACTCGTGCTTTAGCAAATGTAAACACATAACCAGTAATTGATCGACGCTTGTCCAAATCACCTGCATAGTCTGAAGCACAATACCCAACTACACACTGACCATCTTGTTTCTCCTGCTGAAAGACCAAACCAACATCTACGGTGTTCAGAATATACCGCAGAATCCATTTCACAGCTTGCCAATGCTCCTTTCCAGGATCATGCATATACCTGCTCATAACCCCAACTCTCTGTGAAATATCGTATCTCGTACACACCATTGCATACATCAAGCTACCAACAACACTTGCATACGGAACCTTTGACATATATTCCCGTTCTGCATCATCCTTAGGTGACATGGATGCACCGAGCTTAAAATGAGGAGCAAGAGGTGTACTAACTGGTTTTGACTTCTCATTCATGCCAAAACGTTTTAGTACCTTCCTTAGATATTCTTTCTGAGACAAACAAAGCCTCCCCAATTTCTTATCCATTGATATCTCTATGCCTAGAATCTTCTTCGCTTCACCAAGATCCTTCATCTCAAACTCCCTGTTCAATTGAGTCTTTAGTTTCACAATTTCTGTCTGACTCCTGGAAGCTATCAGCATATCATCAACATAAAGAAGAAAATATATATAGGATTTTCCTTGTAGCTTGCGTAAATACACACAATGACCATATTTGCTTCTTGTGTACTTCTGCCCTATCATAAACTTGTCAAATCGCTTGTACCACTGCCTTAGAGATTGCTTCAATCTGTACAACGATTTTTCTAATTTGTACACCATCTTTTCTTTTTCAGCAACTTTGAATCCATCTGGCCGAGTCATGCAGATTTCCTCATCCAAGTCTCCATGTAAAAATGCAGTTTTTACATCCATCTGAACTAGTTCCAAATTCAATTGCGCTACCAAAGCTAACAAAGTTCTGATGGATGAATGTTTTATAACTGGAGAAAATACTTCATTATAATCAACTCCCTCCATTTGAGCGTAGCCTTTAGCCACCAATCTTGCTTTGTAGCGGATGTTATTCTTGTCAGGAAATCTATCTTTTTTTGCATATACCCACTTGCACCCAATTTCCTTCTTTCCCTTCGAAAGACTAGCTAGTTTCCATGTCTGATTCTTTTGAAGGGATTGCATTTCTTCATTCATGGCGATCCTTTACTTTTTATGTTTTGAACTTTGGACTGCTTCATTAAAAGTGTAGGAACATCATCAATTGCAATTGGTGATGCAAAAGAGACCATATCAGCATAACGAATAGGTTGTCTAATGGTTCTCTTTCTCTTTTTGAGTGTAATTGATTCATGTTGCTATGGAGGTTCTTGGGTCTGAACCTCTTGTTCATCTGACTCTTCTTCTACCATAGGAGAGTCAACATCAATTTCTTTACTGGATGGGACAATTATGCTTCCTTCAAACTCCACCTATTTGGGAGTTTCATCTATCTGCTCCAATTTTTCTGAAGTCACCTTTCTCAACATGGTAGATTCATCAAAGGTAACATCCCTGCTGAAGATTATTTTCTTTGTTTCTGGACACCAAAGACGATAGCCTTTCAC